TGCTGTGAGAGAAATACCCGTAGGTTAGTGCGTCTGTAGCTAGAAAGATAAAAAGCAAATAACGCCAAGCAAGGTGATGGCTGATGCCCGCTTTCCCCCTCTCTTGTACTTCAGTGAGTTCCAGCGAAGATGTCGGAGTATATCCGGGTGACGGAGGACGAGAACGATGAGCCCATCGAGATCCCGTCGGAGGACGACGGCACCGTGCTGCTGTCCACCGTGACCGCCCAGTTCCCCGGGGCCTGCGGGCTGCGCTACAGGAACCCGGTGTCGCAGTGCATGAGGGGGGTCCGGCTGGTGGAAGGCATCCTGCATGCGCCAGAGTCCGGATGGGGAAACCTGGTCTATGTTGTTAATTATCCCAAAGGTTTGTCTTCGTCCCTTTAGCTTTTTTTGTACAAGCTTGCCTCTTCAGTCAAGAGGTCCATTTAACAGGGCTATGATATTAACCGTTGAACCCTCTGACTTACATAAGTTCAGTGATTTTATTGATATATCTGTCCTCCAGAACAGATTTGACTGCACCGAGTTTGCAGATGCAGTAAAATTAACTCTCTACCTATACGAGCACTTTAATGACAGTCCTGCATTATCTTTGGAGGGTTCAGAGCTTTATACAGATCTTTGAAGACATGTGGTGTAACAGGATCTCACATACTCACAGGTGCTTCTCCTCAAGCCATGGTTTGGTCAGATGCACCATTTAAGAATACTCAGGAAAAGAGGAGCCTGACCACCTTGCCCCACCTCCACCCCCCCAAAAAATAGGGAAGGAAGTAAACTGCTAATGAAATATTCTTGTTAAAAATTCCTGTCTTCACATCCTTATAGAACTGTGAATGTGACCAGATAATATGTTAGTAAACTGACACAAAACTCCCTCAGTCAAATTGCATTTTAGAGGAGGACTGAAGTGTAGAGTGTTTTTTCTTCTCTCCTTATACTTGTAGGCAGTTGGATATGGATTATAATAATAAACTCCCAGTAGCTGGCATGTGTCTTTTGTGATCTGTACTTTTTCTCATACCATGCACTTCATAATTGGTGGAAGCAATTTCCAGAGTTGAAGATGATATCTAATGTACTTCTTTATATTCAGATAATAAGAGAAAAATGGATGAAACAGATGCATCATCAGCTGTGAAAGTGAAACGAGCAGTACAGAAGACTTCAGATTTAATAGTGTTGGGTCTTCCCTGGAAAACCACTGAACAAGACTTAAAGGAATATTTCAGTACATTTGGAGAAGTTCTGATGGTGCAGGTAAAATCCTTTTGCAGTTCAAGTAAGGAGGGATATTAGGTGGAAATTGCTCGTCTGATGAAGCCAGTAGAAACAAACAGAGCTGTATAAACTACAACTCCTAGGTTGCATTTATTCCATAAGCTTTGTAGCTGCAGGCTTGTTCAGGTACAGATGGTTAGGAATGGTTGGGAGTGGTGATTCATGCAGATCAGCTTAGTGGGTACAGTGTTTTTAAGAGCTTTTTAATATATATCGCTGTTCCTAACTGTAGCTGAATGTATGTGTGTTTATATAGATGTGTATGTGTTAAGGAACTAAGAGATTGCTGTGAGCGGAGTGTTTACGAGACTGATTAACTCTCAAACAGAACTTCACCAAATTCATTCAGTAACAGCACACTTCATACTAGCGTACTAGTGCATTACCACTGCCTACAAATCAGAACTTTTTGTATACTTTTTCTGATGATGTTAACATCAAGGTTGATGCAGGAGATGACTGGTAAATAACGTCATTAAGTCACAAGTACAGGCATGCGCTGTTTCTGTGATCTTTTAAAAGTCTGCTTTTTTTTTGTCTTAGGTTAAGAAGGATATTAAAACTGGCCACTCAAAAGGTTTTGGTTTTGTTCGGTTTACGGATTATGAAACCCAGGTGAAAGTAATGGCTCAGCGGCACATGATAGACGGAAGATGGTGTGACTGTAAACTTCCCAATTCTAAGGTATTTTCGCATTTATTGCTTAATTTTCTTTTTACTGAACACTTTAGCACCTGTGTGAGGTGAGCAGATGAACAGATGAATGATCTGCTCCTGAATGTGGCTTTTCAGTCTGTGACTGGACAGGACAAGTGAGAGCAAGGAAGGAAAATCAGGAGGAGGTGAGTGAGCAGGAAGTGAACAAGGAGTGCTGGGAAAATAGCTAGTTATGTGGGGGAATTAAGTACAGATGGAAATCTGAAAATAAGGTGTTTTGATGTCCAGCAGTACCTGCTTAACTTGTCTGCTGTGTGAATAAATGGAGAATAAAGCAGACAGAGTAACTAACCCAGGGAAGATCGTAACCAGTCTTTGAATTCAAAACTGAACCTGAAGCTTCTGCGTTTATTTCCTGTGTGTATATATGCAGTTACTACCAAAAAAAAAAGGCGTCCTTCTGCAGTGGCTTGTCACTCACTGTTCTCGTCTTGCTCCCATCTTCATTTTCTTATGACTTTTTTCCATCTGTACCAAGGTGCAGGCATGTTTTGAACAGAACTTTTATAAGTCTTTAACTCACAATCTCAAACTTTCTTGATCTTCAGCCCCCAGAACAGGCTAGAATAAAAGAACCTTTTATCATAATGTAACTTGGTTCTCAAAGATAGTTATGTTTTTTTTTTTCCTCTTCAATTATGTTCAGCAAAGTCCTGATGAACCTTTGCGTAGCAGAAAAGTGTTTGTTGGGCGCTGCACTGAGGACATGACGGAAGATGAACTCCGACAGTTCTTTGCCCAGTATGGAGAAGTGGTAGATGTCTTCATTCCTAAACCCTTCCGAGCTTTTGCTTTTGTTACATTTGCAGATGATCAGGTACGTCTTAAAATATTTGAACTTCGTATTTAGACAGCCTACGTTTCAGTAGCTTGATTATTTCTGGAACTACACATGGGAACACTTACTTGTCCACTGTCCTGAGAACTCTAGTGGTTTTAGCGTGATTTGATTTATTGAATTGTCTAAGGTCACACTTCTCAGCTGCTGTTGTACAGCTGGGTTTTTGTACTGCAGTTAGTGTAGTAGCGAATGCAAAGATAAACCACTTCAAATTGGATGAAGTATATGCATATACTTCCTTTGCAGGTTAAGTATCTGCTCAGAGTCAATGTGGGGTTTTTTTGTCTTGTACTACTAACATTTAGAAAAAGTCTAACATATATTTAATCAATCCCTTATTTCTTATAGGTTGCCCAGTCTCTTTGTGGAGAGGACTTGATCATTAAAGGAATCAGCGTACATATATCCAATGCTGAACCTAAGCACAATAGCAATAGACAGTCAGAGAGAGGTGGAAGATTTGGTGGTAATCCAGGAGGCTTTGGGAATCAGGGGGGGTTTGGCAACAGCAGAGGAGGCGGGGGAGGCCTGGGGAACAACCAGGGAAGTAACATGGGCGGAGGCATGAACTTCGGAGCCTTTAGCATCAACCCTGCCATGATGGCGGCAGCGCAGGCAGCCCTGCAGAGCAGCTGGGGGATGATGGGCATGCTGGCTAGTCAGCAGAACCAGTCAGGGCCGTCGGGAAACAACCAGCCTCAAGGCAACATGCAGCGGGAGCAGAACCAGGGCTTTAGTTCAGGAAATAACTCCTACGGCGGGTCCAACTCGGGGGCAGCAATAGGCTGGGGCTCGGCCTCAAACCCGGGCTCCAGCAGTGGGTTTAACGGAGGCTTTGGTTCAAGCATGGATTCCAAATCGTCAGGCTGGGGAATGTAGACGCAGTGGGCTCTGATACTGACTCTATGGTGGGAAATCAGATTTTTCTAACCCATGGTAAGTATACTGTAAATTACATATATACTAACATTTTCCAAAACAGTTTGTTCAGTGCGCAGTATATTCAGCAATATTTTTGACATTTTTTCTTTTTAAAAAAACCACCAAAATTAAAAAAAAAAAGAAAAGAAAGGTAAAAGGAATTTTGTAATTTTTGTTACATATCTTGTTGGAATACTGAATGTCTGGAAGTGGACTGCTGTTTGCCTGATAGCTAACCTAACACTACAGTCGACAGGAAAGGTTTCTCCTGTAATACTTCATCTCTTGTTTCCTGGCTACCTGAATTCTTTGCATGTTCAAAATGGAAACCATTGGTCAGAAACAGCATTCTCCCCCTCTTGTTTTTAATTTGATCCCACCATAAGAATCTCCAAGTGCCCCAGTTGGAGAACACAGTGTCGTTTTTGTTTCATTGTGGTGTTTTTTTTTTAACACTGTCTCCCCTCCATATTAAAGTACAATATGAAGGCTTCATTTAATCTCCGCAGTTCATCTCATTTCAAATGTGTATGGAAGAAGCACTTAATTGAAAGCAGTGCTGTAAATATTCTGCCTTAGGAATACTTCTGTCTACATGCTTTCTCATCCAAGAATACTTCATCACACCGCACATGCTGCGTCTTGAGACGGTGGGTGTTCCATTTTTATCCGCTACTCTTTATTTCATGGAGTCGTATCAACGCTATGAACGCAAGGCTGTGAGATGGAACCAGAAGGCTGTCTGAACTTTTGAAACCTTGTGTGGGATTGATGGTGGTGCCGAGGCATGAGAGGGCTGGTATGTGCGAGATAAAGGCGAGAGCGCATGCAGAGACCTGGTGGTGCATTATGGGATTTTATTTTACTTGGCGAGATGTCTCTCAATCCTGTGGCTTTGGTGAGAGAGTGTGCGGAGAGCAATGATAGCAAATAAAGTACGAGTGTTTATTGCATTCAAAGGACATCCAGATGTGGAAGACTTTAAGTGGGTTTTATACCTAGTTAATCAATTAGTTGAATGTGTTATGTGAAATGAATATTTGTATTTTTTTTCCCTTATGTCAACTGCTGTGAATGCTGTATGGTGTGTGTTGTTTTTTTTCTGTTAATGATCTGTAAGTGTGGTAACGTGAACTGACGATGCTGGGGTTCGTGACGAGAACATTGAGCTTGTGGTGTGCTTTGCAGCAGCTCTTGGAGCAGAGATCACTAGCGAGCTCAGTGTGCCTCTTCAGGGTGGAAGCTCCACTGTCTGTAAGATATCCATAAGAATGCTGTTTGCTGCAGTTTCGTGTTTGGATGCTTTTTATAAGATTTGTCACTGTAGGAAATTCTTAAATAAAACTGATTTAAGTAATATGTGTCTTTGTTTTGCAGCCCTGAATGCAAAGAATTCATAGCAGTTAATTAATTTTACCCTTTTGAGATGAACTTCTGTAAAGCTTCTTTGCAGTAATTGTTTGTTTCAGATAAACACGTTCTAAAAGTTGAGGAGTCAAATGGAGCCACCACTCATCATGTATCGATACCTGACACCCAACTTTAATCCAGTCTTTTTGCACTGTTCAGTGATACTTCTCTATCTAAAATCCAGTTCCCACATGTTGGGTGTCCGCACCTAGAATGGTAAGCTGTTCCCTCCGGATTGCATCTCTACAGAGGAACGTTACTTAATTATTTTATTTTAAGTTCCTCCTTAGAAATGGGTTGGGGGAAACAAACCCTGTCAAGATGTATTTCTGTCCACAGCATCTCCTCTGGGGATGTATGTTTTTAACTTGTTTTTAAACCAGTCCACTCAGGGGAAGTACAGTTCTGCAACACTTCTAGCCCAGAAGAAAGCTATCAACTCCCATTTAAAACTAGTCACAGGACTTTCCAGCTCAATAAAGCATTAGGCAGCTTCTTAACAGAGAGCAGGATCTTTCAGCAGAATCTGGTGGAAGATTACTTCCACTGGCAGCAGGAGCTTGAGGAATTTTTTGATCCACTTGCACTTGCAACCCACTGAAGCTTGTTCCATATTTTCTATACACCAGCCTGCTATGCCGTAGCTGTCAGTGTTCTGAATATGGATATTTACACAGTTTAACCTATTTAACTTTTCAAGTTTATTACTACATATTCTATTGAGGCTTGGGAACAGAAGACCATCTAAATATCTAAAAACTGCACTACTGTTGGTTTTCCACTTGCAGTATTAAAAAAACCAGCTGGGTCTCAATGTACATTTTAAAGAGGGGTTCTAAACACTCGGGCTGAAAAGTAACCCCACACTTCTGTTGTTCAGATCCCACTGCAAAAAGCTGCTTAGATTATTTTTTTCCTGCACCTGTCAGAATAATCTCCAAACTGTACCATCTGTGAATTTTGCATTTTAGCACTTGCACTATTACCAGCTACTTCTGCTGAGTAACACTTAAAAATGGTTTTCTTGGACCTCCAAAGACTAACTGTGACCCCCCCTGCAAGGAACTTCATGGTAAGTTTTTGTAATTAGCATGGCTTTAATTTTGTTTAAATTATCCAGGTTTAGGTTTTAACAGGCTGGTTGGCAGCACTGAATAGTCTTCGCTAATAATTTTGGCCTTCCTTCACCCTCAAACATTATCCCTGAAAATTTTAGAATTATGTTTCAGTTTTTAGTAGTATTTTCTAACTGCTTTGCATACTCTAGTGTTTATAAGTGAGTAAATAAACTAGTATTGAAAACATACTGGTCTTTGGAGTCTTGTTGTTTTTTTTGGTTTTTTTTTTTTTCAGTGAAATACTAATGAAAAAACCCCAGGACACAACACCACCCCCAAACCATTTGCTGTCCTTCTAGTGTCCCCCTGATGGGCACCTCTGCCCCTCCCTCAGCTGCAGCACACAGCATGTTTCTGTCACCAGGCGAGGTTGCATTAAGTGGTTTATTTGCAGACACATCTGTACATTCTTTCGGGCTGATGACTGCCCACCCCCTATACAGCAGCAGAACACAAGAGCTCCTCCTCATCTCAACTCTACCCCGTCCTTTGCTCTCCTCTGCAATCTATCTTCTTCCTGGTAAGCACAGGGGTGGGAGACTTTGCTCCAGTCTAACCACTGCAATATCATTGTCAAATTGGACAACATCACTTTCATAACCTTTATGAATAAAAATTTCTTCTGTGCAGGCTTGTTCTTAGCAAAATGAGCATTTGTTCAAAATCCCCCATTTAATCCTCAAAGCTGAGGGGTTTTTTTGATCAGCTACAACACCAGCAGCTGTTGGAATGCACTTGTCATACAGAAGTGACCCACCTCCTAATCCTCCTTGCTCCTTAATCAATGTCACTGGCCAGGGAAAGGCTCCAGGCTTGGCTCGTCTTCCTCCATATACATGCTCCATGGTTCACTTCTCCATGTTCCAAAAGCTGCAAAACAGTGAAAGCAGCACTAACTGTTAAACATTTTAAGATCTGGACACTGAATTATTATGCTTGCATGGATTAAATTAAGTTAATGATGCTAAATGTAATTCACAGATTGGTTTGGAATGGTAGAATTGCTTGCAAATGAATATTTGATTTAAGAGTACAATTTTCATTAGGCAGCATTACATACATCCTTTGGAAAAGTTCTGTAATCAAGAGAGACAGTTTTGCTTAGGAATAAGTGTATTTGTTCAGAATGTAAATTAAGGTAATTGGAGTATATGGCTGTTCTAATCTAAAAGATAAGAGGAACAATTATGCTTTTACATTGTAAAATGTTTCTCCCAAAACTCGAGTCTTGGATCTTGAATAATTTTACAGAGTCAGTAATTTAGCAGTTCAAGCATTAAAAAAAAATAAAATCCCCAACCCACTACTCTGCAGTAAGGGCATCCACTGCCTTTTTTCCTCTCACAAATGCTTCTGGGAGATCGTACGCTATTTCAAAGGACACCACCATACTTTTTTTTTTTTTTTTTTTAAATAACCATCAGTGCCTTTTAGAGATTTTAAAGAATGGCAGAAATGGAAACATTTTCCAACTTACAAATACAACATGCACTTTAACAAGAAATTGAATAGTTACTAAGCAGAAGAAAGTGTTTCTCATTCTGCAACTTCCATCACTGTCCTTACAAAGCCCATGTTCCATATACACATACACAAAAACTTTCAAATTTGCAAATATTAGCACTGACTTACCAATGCGCTTTGCCACTGGTTTGTTCGAAGAAGCTTCCTTTTGACATTCCACTACGGAAGACTTACATTTTAGTTCTCCAAGAAGCAGGAATAGAAATAAAAGGTCAAATTAATTTCATATCAAACAGGGTTAATTACAGAAGAACAACATCAGTTACACATTTATTTGCTCACTCGTAAGGGAAAAAGCAATAACTGGATTTTTATTTGCTTAAAATGTCTGTACTAATGGTACTGCCTTGATGCCCTGCTTTCGGAGTGGGAAAAGGTAAAGAATTCCTGTGCCATCATCACATGTATCTAAATGTGGGTGCTAATAAAGGCCAGAGTGGGTGAGTGGGTGGCGGTGAACGTGAGGGCCAGTTACCCCTCCAGAATCCAGAGGCTAGTCTGCATTTGGTGTTCAGCAGTTCCACCGCCCGGACCTGCCTTGGCACCAGCAAGGATGGCACACAGCGCAGGTCCGTGCGTTGCAGCCTTCATTTATCTCTTGCCATCTGCACCCAGCTTTCTGGTTCCCTGCATTGAACACCAGCCTCACATCACTTCCGTTATTCCGGCTTTCTACATGAACACTAAATGTGTGCAACTATCAAACCAGACAGACTAGGAAAGAACAGCTGAGGTAAGCCTCTGCCTCCTAAAACACAATCACCTCACTGCGTTTTTAAAATTCTGCTGTAAGCATACACGGACTAGAGCATCTTCAAAAATTGCCTGCTGGGAAGCAGGATGTTATTAAGTCTGAAATCCGACTAGTGACCAAGTATTCCAGTTTTAACTTCCCTGGAGAGATGCAGTAACAAATGGAAGAACATTAAAAATTCTCGCTACACTGATCTTGTGAAATCTTTCGTAAAATTATTCTTTTCTTCCAACATAATTACAAGCAAATCTCTAAGCAGCAGTGTTCAAAGAACATCAGCATGGGCATACAGACACGCCAGCACACACAGAAACATAACTCTTTGGAGAGGATATCAAAGAAAGGACAATTGCTAACACATTCAGTGTACTGAATACACATCGTAGTGATAGTACATGAGCAACAGAAATTGTTGAGGAGAAGAGGCACCTACATGTTTAATCCCTGAGAAATTACATCCCACAGGGCTGACAGCGCCGTGGTTCACCTACTTCAAGCAGCACATATCCGGTGTCACGAGAGAGCACAGCGGTCACCCAGGATGTTCTGCGCCTGCACTGGTGCGATGTGACCATGGGGTGGTGCTTCAGGACCAGGACACGGCAAACCTGCAGCGGATCAGAAGCACACTATTCCCTTTAAGACCAAATCAGTTACCGCTAAAGGCTCTTAGGGGAAACCCCCACCATTCCTCTGCCCTTTCTCTCACTGTTTCGCTCCCATGGACACACACCTACACTTACTGAGAACAAAAGGAAAAACCGTCACTGAGTTACTGCGATGCTCTCACATCAGCGGTGTGCAGCCACCGGCACGGAGCCAGGCCACACGACAGGACCAGCCCAGTACGTCTGTTGCCTGAACACACACCTCATAACTCTTGACAAGTTGGGAAAATTGTTCCCTAAAATAAAATCATATGCCTGATTTTAATACAGCAACTCCTTGAACTTGAATGGTCCTTTCTTGCAAAGTTTAACAGAACAGGAAGACGGTTAGAGTGATGGCTCACACCTCCCTGGGCATCCTAAAGTGCCACAGAATTCCCGGTAAGCGATCACTGGGTCCATTTTATGGACAAACAAACTGAATGCAAAAGACTTAACTGACGCCCCTGGCATCACTGATCTGTGATAAGGGCAGAGGTTGTGATGAAATCTATCAAGTCATAACACAGATGTGGGTTTGATGTTGGTGAATTTCACAAAAGAGGAAGGTGTTGAAAGAAAAAAAACCAACAAAGCTGAAGGGACTAGAAGAAGAAATGAAGGAGAAGAGATACAGGGAGACAAAACTGTAAATTAACATGGCAGAACACGGGCTGAAGAAGATGCAGTAAAAGAACTGTGCCTGTCTCACAAAAGCTGTGATGAAATGCAATAAACCCCACTGTACCTTAAGGACATCATAGGGGTACGACACTCCAGGGTGTGTCTCCGTGAATTCCAGTGGGATCAGGAAGCCATCTTCTACCTGGACACCATAGCTGGGAGCGAGCGATAAGGTGTTGGACAGTCAGGGCTGGTGACTTCTCCAATTCCTTCAGTAAAAACCTGACTCTGACAGTTGGCTAGGAAAAAAAAAACCACAACAGACAATGATGATCACATTGTCTTAACTCAGTTCAGCCGTACTGGGTAAAGGCAGGGGATCGGCTACACTAGCCTATCCCTTCAAGAAGGATTCAGAGCCACACACCCAGCCCCATGAAATGAAGCCACTCTCCCACATTTCACCAGGAGGCATTTGTCACTGCTGAGAAAATTGCCCTCTCTCTGTTGTGGTAGGACCAGGGCAGGAGCACTATCCAGCTACCCCAGCAGTGGTGCAGGGAAGGACACTGGGAAAGCACCAGTTAGTCACAGGGCTGCAGCTCAGCAATGCATGTGATAGCTGGAAGCCTGTCAAAAACATTCCAAGGTGTTAAAATTGCAGCTTGTCTGCTGCACCAGAGTGTGCAGAGTGGTAAGATAGCTATCAGCTCCTCAATTCCAGAAGCCTCTGAATGCAGCTCTTTCTTTTTAATGCCTTTGTTGCCAGACATTTAGAATGTAATTGTATTCTCTGAGCAAAACCAGCTGTGCCTCTTGCCAACACAATTGGAGCCACAAATGCTCCCCGCTGAAGAGAAGCAAGAAGGAACAGCCACAAGTGCCCGGAGGATCTCTGCTTGTTGACAGCATCTGCTCACTGTGAAGTGGTGCTTTGATCAGCTGGGAACAAAGGCGTTATGATGTGCTGCAAGAGCTGTATGAGCAATCCTAACTGACGAGGAATGCTGCACTGCCTGATAACACCAGCAAATTTTTGCACCGATATGACACTGAATTAAGTGTAAGAGAGAAATTGTTTGACTTTGAATCGTATCCTCAAACACACCACACCAACCTCCACCAACAAAAATGCCATTCCCCTGTCATTAATTACAGATTATCACCCACAAGAGACCATCCAGTCTAAAGTTGCCATTTTAATGGAAGGGGACCAAGCTGTGAATGAGAAAACAAATATTACCGTCCCTTAACCATGGATTTCGTTAGCCAACTAAGCTCCTTTTACTTCAGAGAATGAAACTTGCTTCCACCCTATACCTATGCAACAGCCCTACTTGCCACTGCAGGAAGTGTTCCAACACAAGCGTCTATTTGGAAAGGGAAGCTGGAAGGGGTAAAAGGATAATCCATTTGGTTTATGTTTGTGGGGCTCTTAGCACAACTACAACACCACAACACAAGTAATGGTGCACTTGGGTACCAAGTGTTTCTTTTAGCACAAGCTATAAATTCAGAACAATATTTCTCTGTCCATCATCCCAGAAAGTTATGAGCAGCTGCTTTTATTTGACATAAACCTATCCATCACCAGTGACGGAGCATCTGTGTGTGCTCTGCTCTGAATTCACTGTCCTAGGTTTCAAACACAGCTGACAAATACACAGAGTAAACCAGTTCACAAATACCTAGAAATGCCTATTCTGTTAAAACTGAGCACCCTCCTAATTTTTAAATCCTGTTTGAAATGCCTCTCTCAGTCCCAAGCAGCAGAGAAAGCCTGACGAATTCACCTGGAGGTTCTGGCTGCCTCTGAATCCAGCCTAACAGCACACTGCTTTGCACCAACTCAGCTGAGTTACAACGGGAATTAAGTCTTTTCCTTTCATGGTATACTTGTAGAGGATTATCAGCAAGTGAGTTTTTTCTTTAATTGTTATTACCTCATTCTTCCAACCTGAATGCACATTTCTGTAATTCCACTGACTGCCTCAAACTACAGAAGCATTCGATGGCTATGTAAGAACACCCCATGTTTTCCAGCACTCTCCTGAGCTGCTCCACGTGCTGCTTAAAATACTGCCAGGGACAGAGAGTTCACTGCCTCTCCTCAGGCCTTATGGTCCCACTATAATGCCTCCTTCCACCTGCTGCACACCCAGGTTAAGAAACACCCCAAAAACTACTTTATATATATGTATACATATATTTACAGCTTGATGTATATACAGCTTTAGCAGTATACTGCTCACAGCCACCTGAGTGCAAAAAAACCTGCTTCTCTTAAAAACGGAAATTTCCTCATGCTGCCACTATCTGTCCCAGCTCAACAGCTCCTAAAGGAGCCCAAGGCAGTTATAGGACGAAGTAGGAATGAAAATATGAAATCCTTGGTTGGGAAAAAAGACTCAGCATGAAGTCTTAGCCTAAGCATACAAACCACTATACAATGAGTACTATCTTTACACTCCACCTCCCTACTGAAATCACTAGGAATTTAGAATCTCAAATCTTCTGCTAGTTCTCCATCAGAATCCTTTCCTATTACCTACAAAACCATTTTTCCTCAGGCATGGAATCTACTGTATAAAGAAGGGATACTCAGGCTGGTAGGGTTAAGTTATCTTTTACAAGAACCTCAGAGCCAGAAGGTTCTTGCAGTACAAATAAGAACAGTGCCCCATTAATACCCCACTAATTCCGAAAACTGGCCTTCACCTTGCTCTGAAGTACTGAAGAAGGAGAAAGAGACGAATAGTTCTTCATGCTTCATTACATCTGTCTCCTTTAAACTCAGTTTCCTAATTTTGATGTGAGATTTTCATAATACAGTTGGGGAAAATGTGAGTCATCCCCAACAGACTCTCTTGACCTGTGCTCACATGAGTAGCCATGACCTGACCCAACAGAAGGTACTCTGCTAGTCCAAGGGAATTTGCAGCTTGAAGATGAAAAGGCTTAGACTGGACCTTACTTTTCTCTTAACATCTCCTGGATGTGGCCACTGGGAGTTCCCTTTGTCAGAGCAGTATTTTTTTCTGTAAGTCTGCAAGCAAGAAAGTAATAACTAGACAGTACAAAACCAATCAAATAATTTTTTTTAACATCTGCCAGCAGAAATGCTGTCCCTTGACTTCTCAGGCTGAGCTTTAGAGCTGTCCAGAGAGTGCTCAATTATGCTTAGGCCATATTTTTATTAGAATCACAGTGAGCTGTTTGCCAGAGGCTTGAACTCTGAAAAATGATCCCCTCTGAAACTGTGTGTCCACTGTCATTGTCTCATTAGGTCTCCAATGAAAGGTGGGTCATAAATTGTATCAGCAAGCCGTGACAAAATTTCAAGCTGCTTTGATCATCACTCACTGTGACCATAAGACAGCTTCTGAAGAGGATTAAATATGGCAGAAGTAAGCCTTGGTAAGTGCTTGCACAGCCATTCCTTCCCCAATCAGTTCCCTGCAGCATCTACCTTCTATGACACTTACTAAGCATCTTCCCTAGTGACACATGGGAAATGTAAGAAAATGAATGTTCCAGAGGCTGCCATCAGCTTTCAACAAGGAACAGCCTCTTTATTGTCTGCAGGAGGCAGGTCTGAAAGGCAGGGAACCGAGACATACAAGTCACAGAGCAAGAGAAGCCTGCAGCCCTTCGGCGGACTGCAACAGGCAGGTCAGGAGGGAGGGCAAACCAGCTCTTCCCAGCACATCTGTCTCCATCTCTGCCTAAGCGAGGAGAAGCTTAATGATCTCATGCTGGAAAATAAAGGAGAAAAAAAAAAAAAAAGAGCCTGTCAATATCAGCCTGCTCAGACAGAAGCCCAAAAATCAAAAGGGCAGCTTTTGCCCTCATCTCGTAAAGACGATTGACAGAGACCTGTACTTTGCAGCCCAGCCCAGTGGCTGGAGCAGCTTCAGAGCTTACATCTAAAAGCCTCTGAAAGGTGAACAGGTTCCAGCACATCAGCTGCACCGCTGCAATTCCCAGCGTGCATGTCTCCCCGCATCAGGGTAACCCAGCCCTCCAGTACTGCTGATAAGCCCCTCTGCCAGCGTTCCGTTCAAGGAGGGGGGCACAGTGTGCACACATGAATGGTCAGCGCAAAGCTGCTGGTCTGCTCCTTCACAGCTATTCATTTTGCACCTTCACATTAAGACCAGGCAAACGCTTTATAGCATAAGTAATTCCATATACTTGTGCTAAAAGCCATCACTTTAGGAAGGGGAGGTTGAATGAATAGATCTGTTCCAATACACTGGAGACATGAGGAGTTTGAATCTTGAATCAGACCCAGGCAACTATGGCTGGGGAGAGTTTGTAACGCACTGGAGTTGGGAAGCTAAATGCCAAGGCAGCCTTAAGCACTGGAGGTTAGATCCAATTCAGCATTTCAGCACTGGGGAGCTCAAAGAAACCCACCTATGACAACATTTAGTGAGCAGTATGTGTGCTGGTTCTTTCCAGACAGGAATCAGCTCCAGGCGGGCAAAGATGCACCCCCTAAGGATGAATCTGACACCAATGTGGGCACACGATTCACTGCAAAGTGAATTCTGAGGTGCCGATCACCACACTGACTCAGAGATACTTCACTGCCTGACGACACACAAGCTTTCTGTAGTTGTGAACTGAGAAGCAGAGCCAGGCAGATGTCAGAGGGGTAAACCTCATGCTGTACGCCCTTCTGAACTAGAGATCTGTGCCTGGCCTCATCTCCCATTTAATGAGTGGGTGATCATTGTAATCTGGTGTCAGTGATACGTGGACCATGCTGCTTCTTGGCCTGTGTCCTTCCAAGGACAGTAAGCAAACTATTTCCCATTAGACTTTGCCACTCAATTGTTAGTTTTTCCAACACATCTACTATCTCGGGTCCAGAACACTCAGTATCTCAGTACCAGGGAGCAAGATACACTCAGTTTTGCAAGGCTGGCTGCACTGGCAGCCATGAAGACTGGAGGTATCTGTGGTGTGAAGTGTAAGATGAGTTTCTTGCCTCTGCATCCAGTCTGCCTAAAGCCAAACGCAGGTGGATTCTGCCTAAGGAGTAACCAAAACCAACTGCCAGAGCACTATTTTACTGTGACACAATATTGCTGTCCCTAACCGCAGCAATCAGCGCACAGTCACTCTGCAAACCAGGGCCTCTGCTCACAGCCCTGACTAACCCCTTGAAGCCTTCTTCAAGTTGCACCAGGAGCACAGGGAATACTGAAAACAACAACAGCTTTCACCTCGATGCTAGTGGCAGGGCTGGATTAAAGTGGATGTTGTAGGCAGGGAAGTATCTCCTGATCTAGCAAGAGCTTACCTGTGCACGTCCTCTTGTTTTCATGCAGTGTGTAGCCGACCCGACAGCTGCAATAGTAGCCCCCCACGTAGTTGTGACAGTGATGATTGCAGAGGGGTTCACCATCAAATAGCTGTTTGCACTCATCGATATCTAATGGGGGAAACACAGAATCAGGCAGCCAGCAAGCACAGAATTAGGCAAACAGCACTTTGTCTTGTTCTGAGGCACTCTGTGTTCTGTGAGGTTGGCTTGTTTGCCGTGGGTTGCTGTGCCCTTTTGCAGCTGCTTCCGTACAATGAGACTGCCTTCTCCCACCCAACACCAGCAGCCAGAGCCCACAAGAGCACAGGAGAGCACCAGCCCCACTAGAGTGGTGTTCTTCCATCTGCACGAGGGGCTGGTCTCTTACCTGTGGCAGCGTAAAAAGCCTCAAAGCCTGTGAATGGTTTCTCATTGGAGTAATCAGACCGAAACACTACCATGAGGTTGTTGTCAACGGAGATGTACGTCTTGTTGCCCGGAGCCTCCTCAGTGTCAGTACTATCCTTTCCACACAGCGTAGCCAAGGTCCTCCCACCAGAGCTCAGCTGTAAATTGGGCAGACAGATCTATCAGATGAACACAGAGCTTTGCTCTTCCCAACCTGCTGTCGTGGCTTGGAAAACATGTGTTTAATGATGCAAGAAAGGAGGCTCGGGAGCTCTCAAAAGGGGCTTCTGGAGGTCAGGCCAGATCCAGGGACAGATAAGAGAAGATTTCCCCTATTCGCTGTGACTTAAGCCCATAATTTTGTTTATCTTTTTCCTTTCAGAGGCCCACATAAAGCTGTCAAGCCAGCTTGGGCTATGAGCACCATGCTTTGCTTATAATGCTCTTGTTAACTTGGGACTCTCAGTGACAATAAGATCTTGGTAAAGCCAGAGACAACCGGGGTAACAAGGTTTCATACACTGACAAATACAAATGTAGAGTAAAAGGTCTCTTTAAACTAGTGATTCACCTGCTCTATGAGTCACTTATTACAGCTCCAGCTCTTCATTTATCTTGTGTTTTAATACCAGAGAAATGTTCTGCTATATGGGGTTCATGCTGTACACTGCAGTGACAGAACTGCGTAGGACAGACCTACCAGCAAGGAGTGCTCTGTCCTGCCCAGAGGAAATCACGTACAGAACACCATGGATTTGGGGAACGGGAGCAACCTGCCATATAAAACCACGGAAATTAGATCTTCCTAAACGGGAACAAGGCTGCCTGATTTGGTTCCATCAGATTCAAAAGTACTGCTGACACTGGTTCCGCACACTCCCTGTGTGTACAGCTCCCTCTCTGACGCCTATCAGGCCCACACCAACACCAGAACGAGCGCAGAGGTGGCACAGCCTCACACCAGCAGCAGGGCTGCCTGGACTAGAGCACACGCTAGCACACGGAGTACAAACCTTTCAGGGACACCGCTGATCACCCAAACACTTCCCAAAGACAGTATCTTTGTTTCTTTTCCCAAGGCTGTTTCTCACATCAGTTAGTGAACACACCACAGCAAGTGTTCCACGCGCACCTCCAGCCAAGCTGACAGTATCTTGTTTAGACTATCATTACGCTTTTACAGTCTCTCATTATACTCTGTGTAAAGCACTACTTGTTAATTTAAAACACACACTGTAACTTCAGCAAAATGAAGCTCAAATGTTGTTTTGGGCAAAATTTCAAACCTTTCTCTTCACAAGAGGGGAATATAATAAGCATAAACAACTCAAGCTTCAGATGTTCCAACTTAACAACCAGTTCTACTTTCTGGTCCCGTGGGCCTCAATAAACACATCATTTAGAAATCAGCTGAGCCTGAACTTCGCTAGCAGACTAGAATCAAGTACTTACAACAGTTATGTTGGTCCTGCACGTGTCCAGGATACACAGTTCTTAAAAACTTAGTCTGCTACACATTGCCCTGCCCTACACGTACCTTCACATAGTCGTATTCACACAGGTAGGACAGCTCCAGGTTGAAATGGGTGAAGTAGATGCGAACAGAATATCCCTTAGGGACGGTAATATTCCAGATTTTCTCCTTGTGATTTGGGTAGACATTTGGGAAGTCGGGGGATGTGATCCTCCCATACATTTTCTGCAGCACAATGCTACTGCTTGCTTCACTGTAAAGCACAGCTAGCAAGACAAACAGCCTGTGTCAAAGAACAGAGATTAATGGAGAATGAGTGAGCATCAACCCAGATCACACCCAGAAAGCCACACATCCAAGCTGCCAGTCTCGATACCAAATCGGGTATCTCAGCACTAGCTGAAATTGTCATGCCCAACACCCTTCTCACTCAACAACTGAAGAAATCAGGAGGTTATCAGTGGAGTCATACCATCGTAACACCTGAACAAGATGAGAATCTCACTCGTGCCTTCCAAGGCCTGCATGAAGCCAAGTGGCCAGAGGAGCCGGGGAGGTCCCTGCGACTGCACTCACCTCATCATGTTGCTCTCCGGCCTGAGCCCGCTCTGCTCTGAGCCCTGGGGATGGAATATCTTCTGATATATTTGTATTTGGGGGCGGATGAATTTATTGCGTGTGCTCTGCTGTGTTTGTCTGGATGTTGAACTCTGATGTTTATCTCCCTTCCACCCCCTTCAGCCTGCTGAGTTCTGGGAACAGCAATTACTAACAGCCAGGCTCGGGTTCAGTGCATGAGGCCACAGCCAGTGACAGGGAGAGCCAGACAGAGACGGACTGGAAGGATTAGGAACGCTGCAGGTTCTTGGAGGGAGCTGTAGTATCACAGCTCTGCGGGATGGCAGGCAGTGGGAGGAAGCACAGTGTGGCTCTGGACAGCGTCTGCACGAGGCAGTGAGCGGAGCTTTCCCTTTAACCAACTGATCTACAGTTACTCCAGTAACGGCATGCTACTGGAAGCACAGTTTCTTCCATTGTCAGAGCAGGAAGGTGCTGAAAAGAAAATGGATTGCTTTTTATCCTGTCCATCCTGGAACATCAATAAGGCAAAATGTCAAGCTTAAAAAATTATGTCTTTTGGACCTGGCTCCCTACATAAACAAGACAAAATTCCTCTGTGCTCACATCTGCCTCTGTAACCTCGCTCACTAACTCAAAAGACCAATGGTCAATTTCTACCCAGTTTGGTGGAAGAGAAACCATTTCAAGGATATCAGTGCAATGGAGACAGGGGGATGGATAAAAGCAACTAATTCCTATTACTGGGGATTCTCTGAGGAAAAAAAGCTGAAAAATGAATTCAAACTTCCTTTAAACATCTGTAGATCCACACAGGGATTTCACACCACTATAAAACCCCAGGGAATCCAACTGTGAAAGCCAATGCTATAGGACATAAAGCTTTATTAATTCCACTGGTTGCAGACTGCTTCCTTCCAAGCCTGCATTTATGTTTCCCACAAAATTCTTATTCCAGCACACATGGAGACAGGCCTAAATTTATAGAGGATGAAAAGCCAGATTATGTTAATACTGAACCCAGGTCCCACATCTTTCCTGACAAAAACAGACAGAGAGGAGGAAAACTGATTTGCAGCAGGGAACAGACTACAGCGCTGCACATGCAGGAAATTTATACCGAGATATCCTGTAATTAAATGGACACCTTTTCATACTCATCTTTGAACAGCCAAAAAATCATTACCCCAGGCAGTGAAGTTGGTGCTGGCAGGAAAGCAGGAGCTATTACAGGAACAAAACTAAAGCCAACAAACCATTCAGCAGACTGCAAACAGAAAACACCATTTAATAGAAGCGAAGGAGAAACCAGGATCAGTAATAATTAATTGTGTAGCAGCAATACCTACAAGCACAGTTAACAAACAAGCACCCAGAGGGAACTAGCTTTTCCCAAGGCCCACTAACTACTATAATAATTCTATCAACACGTGCAAGATGTGGACTTTATACTGTCTGGAAATGAGGGAAGAGAAAGAAAATTTAGCAAAAAATCGATCTGTGCCTAACTGAGCTCGCGCCTGATTCCCACAGACAAAAACACCTCCAGAAGCACCCCACATTAGGCTTCCTGCTCAGTTCAGTAGCAGAGGCATGGAGAGTCAGTTCTGATCTTAGGTCTGAAAAGCTTCTCACAGACTCAGAATACGATTGAGGCTCCTGCAGCTGACGGTTGCTGCCTAGCACTGAAATAAGAAAGTTGGCTTGAAAAACCGTGATCCTGGAGACTGAGAAACTGAATTTTTATTTCACATATTGGCTTTCCTCTGGCAAGGTCTGCGGAGACACAAGACTGCTGTGATTTTAGTCCTCAGCACCTGACGCGAACAACGCCAAAAATGCTGTCCCTGTTTCTTTGCCCAGAAACTTTCCACCTCCGGAAGGCCGCTGGGCATCAGCTAGCCAGCTGCAGCAGCATCTCAGGAGCGCTGTGACAGCTCACCTCAGGCCCCACAGATGTTCCTCTTGCCCATGATCTCCCTTTTGTCTGCACAGGACTAAGCCAGCCTGAAGGCCCAGTGGACTTCATCCGTGTCACTGCCATTTCCAGTGCTCTGTAACTTGCCGAGTTACTGATGCACTTTAGGAAGCCTGGGTGTTATCTGAAATGACAGATGCCTCTTGAGAAGCCTGCCCAGCTGTGCTGTGCCTGTCTCCCTCCGTGCTTGAGGGCTGAGGCAGCACAAAGGCAAGCTGTCATTTTCAAGAGAACCACCAACATTGTGAAAGCCAAAGTTCAGAGAAAGGATTTCCCCTTGAAAAAAAAAACCAACCTTCTGTGGAATGGAGGAATATGTAACGACACAGAGATACTGGAGAGTCCTCATGTGAGCCCACCCTCTCCCTCAGACCCTGCAGAGTCTCTCAAAATATGCTTTTGCTACTCGACATTGAGGTCTGTTGAGGAAAGGTTTCAAATCCCTCCCGTAGCAAAAGTAAGTGCAGACAGCTCTGCCAGACACATGAATAAATCAGCAAGAGCAGAGCTGCTCAGCCAGCACAGTGCCCCTCAGGCTGGTACCACTGAGATCCAGAGACCTGGTCTCCACTTTCCTGCAAAACCAGCCAGCAGCAGGAACCAACTGAAGACATGAGAAGGCTGGAAACCAGCTGTGCAGCTAGGGCTTTCATCACAGTTGTGTCACGTCCAGGCTAAGTCCTGCAGTAGCTCTTCAGTTCAGACTTCCCTCTCACCCCAAGTTTTGAAACTGGAAAAATGGTACCTGAGGTTAATTCTGACAAAGCTGTGTTCCTACAGAAAGAGCTTCAGCTGTGACAAACTCTGAGATCCTGTAAAAATGAAGTCAATACAGTCCCACATCCACTTAATCAAAAAAGTCCCAGCCAGCTCTATTCTCAAATGGACCATGAAAAACCACACACTGCCTCAGAAAATCATCCTGCGTCAAGGGGAGAGAACCATCTCTGGGCCTTTAAAAGGCAGCTCCTGCCTTCTGCCAGCAGTTCCATGAGAAGCACTGCAGTGACAGATCACAGTCAGGACCAGATGTTTCAGGTGTAATAAGCAGGACAGCGAGCATCTGAATGTGCTTCCAGATCTGAAACACAGGTACAGCGCCAGAGCAAGAGGCTGGTTACCGAACGGAGGAAAAGCATGCACAAGCCTTCCTTGCTTCTACAGTGAGACAGTGCAGTCATCTAACACAGCAGTGGCGATCCTTGTGTCACAAACCAGAGAGCAAAGGAGCGTTACAGCTGCTTGCTGTGATCCCTGAAGACATCGCTCCCCACTGCCCCTTAGTTCTCAAATGCCAGATGCCTCTGCAGAGCCCTAAGAGATTGCTTGGATGCTTGCTGTTCCGTGGCTAAACCCCATCCTCCCGCACTGAAGGGTTCGGAGGACTGCAGGGAGGATGCAGCAGAGAAAAAGGCGTTCTGTTTCCTCATTACAAATCAAATAGCGTGACTGACATCAAAAGACAAGCACACAGACGGAGCAAGCGGAGCATGGAGTGGGACAGGGGGAAGATCCTGGCTGCTGTGAAACAGGAAAAAAGTATGATCTTGCCAGAGCAAAAATAGGAGGCAGAAAGAGCTCATGTAATGGGACAAGATACTTTCTCTCTTCAGTTAGGGCATGCCTTCCTCCTTCCCACGCTGTCTACTGCTACCTGATTGTTTTATATCCTGTTTGCAAAGATGGACTCCAGCTGCTACAGAGCGCTAAGGCACATTTCTCCAGCAGCGAAAAGAACACTGGACTTCTCTCTACTCTACACTAACTGACTCCCAAAGGACAGTCAGTGCAATTCTGCAGTGTCGTCCTCATCTGAAAGCACTCAGATCTGAGCTCAACTTGTCTAAGAAGATCCACAAAAACTCTGGGGTAAAGATACCGGTCGACAGCTTTGCTCCTCTGGCACAAAGAGCTCTCAGAACAAGGGTAACCATCATCTGTGTGGGGCTGGCCTCAGGCCAACCTCTCCAGAAGCACCAAAGAGCTCTGCGTGCAAAACCCATGTCTCCGAACGTGTGTGTCTGTGTGTGTGCACACACGCATGCACATGTTAGAGACCACGCACACACAATTTATCCATTATGTATGTGTACACAATCAAAATGATAATGTGCAAATACCTGTATAACTTCTGTTCAACCACACAGCTGCAGAATCCCACAGCGTGTAATTTTCACATATGCCAGCCCATTTCCACCACTGCCTCGATGTACGTGTATGTATGTACTCGCATGACTACACAAACTCCAGGGCAAACCCCTGCACTGCGCACACTCATCCCCTTGGGGAGAGAATATGACAGCAAACAAGTAAGAGATGCTGGTCACATTACTCTGCCTTCTCCTGGAAAAAACTCCCATTCTGCCACAGAGAAAACAGCATAAAAGAATTGCACAGGTCAGAATCTCTTTTCCCCTCGTCTGTATACCCAGACCCATTAGCCTGGCTCTGACAAACTCAACTAGCTCACAAAGCTACCATCTCACTCCCGCCCACATCTTTGGTAGCTGTTGCATGTCCGCTGGGCTGGCTCCAAGTCTGTGACTTCACTGGAGCGGCTGTTTGTGCTGGGAAGAGAATTTGGTTACAATTCAGATACAGCGAGAGCCAAAGCTAGGAAATACTGTCTTCTCTCCAAGCAAAGATGCTATGCATGTTACAGGCACAGCCAACACACTTTCCTTGGGTAAGCCTGACTCCAAACAGCTACTAGGAACAAAGGGGATGGGTGAAAAACACACGTCTAACATGTATCTCGTGTCCAACTTGAAGTCTCAAAGACTCCCAGGCTGGGGGTGACAATAAAGAAAAACAAGAAAAATACAACAAACCTCTGTCCTAGAGGACACAAAGACCAACCAAGGACGAACTCATCAGGAACTCCCTACTGTGAACAGAGTGAGGCTAGTCAAAAGCCTCAAAAGCCTGAACTTACCACAGCCTCATTCAGCAAGCAGCTCAGCCTTGTGAGGTAATTGGGAGACTTTTCAGCTCCCAGTACAGCACCTAGGAATGACATTTACAGAGCAGTTTGGGGTTACACACCTGCTGTGATGACTGGAA